AACTTTAAACATTTTTATTTTTATTTCAGAAACCATCTTTTACAATAACAAAAAGGTGAAGTCGTTTTCATAGCTAGAATAATACATAGTCATAGTTCTAGTTAGTAGTAGTTATTAATTGATATAAGTGAACTATAATTTATGCTAATCCTTGTTACTTAAAATATTATTATATTTTTTAATAAAAGTTTTTCTTTTTTATATATATATATATATATATATATATATATATATATATATATATATATATATATATATATATATATATATATACTTTGTATGAAATTCATATTTTTTTCATTCTTAGAATTACTAGTGATAGCTTGATAAATAGTTGAATGGCACATTTTAGAAGTTATTGATTGAGATAGATGAGCCATAATTACTACTTAAAAATTATAATTAGAATTAAATGTGATAGTTTAAATAGTGTAAGTTGTTTAAGTTCTGCTAATCAATTTTCTTTTATTTTATGGTTTTTTTATTAAATAGTCATATCTTAGTTGATTAATTAAGATGTAATAATTATTGATTGAGATAAGTGAACTGCTAAGAAATTGAAGACACTGATTGAACACTAGAAAACCTGTGAAATATGCTCAACTCTAAAATTAAATTCTTTCAGAATTATTCTTCTAATTTCTTAGCAGTAGTCGTGGTTCATCTATCTCAATCCACAACAGATTACTACTTAAACTATTATACCCATTCTACTCTTTCAAAGTTTCTTACACCTTAGAATATTAATGAGTGAGACTGGTTTCATTTCCTGGTTTGAGAAAGATACTCTTGGATGGTTGATAAGAGTCAAGAGTCAAGGTGCATGTTTCACAGAATGAAATTTTTTGATGCTTTGTTGACTTCGAAGGAGTGTTGAATGTCAACTTTTAAGGTAACGTGCAGATGTGTGTATAAGTTCGACATTCATGATCAGAATTTGTTCAGGTGAGCCTGTCTGGAGACTGATCTCGTTGCACGAGGGGGTGGCGACGACAACTACGGAGCCAAGATGCCCACCACCTTTTCTGCCACGAGATGCAACAGGATCGGATCTTGGAAATCAGAAAAAGAACTTTTCTGGTACATCGGAAGTTGCAGAGGGTAATGGAGAGAAACAAAAGTGGTGGCCCGGGAAGAAACAGCAGCAGCTCTTTGGGCGGTGGCCCCATACCCTTCAATCTGCACCGAAAGGAGGAAATGTGAGAAGCAACGAGGCAAGCAATGGGAGCGCATGTTGCATGATTCACGAACTTGGAAAAAGTTGTGAGAGAAGTTGGTGGGACTATGTATGTGTTGTTGTTTACATTCTTCTTTGAGAAAGAGAGAAATTAACTTTCATTTTTGGACCAGATCTAAGAGGAGAACTTGTCTGGGGATGTGTTTTTATGCCATGGTCTTTTTCTTCAGAACTGTTTGCCAGGGAAAGTCATATTTTATTCTTGTTTTCGGTTTGTTTTACTTTTGTAGCTCTCTATTTTTCAAATGAGTGTTCTTGCATCAGCAGCAAATTGCAAAACCTCTCGGTGCTCGTGAGGACGATCTGATTGCTTTTTGGCACGCAACGCATGCATCAGCAGCAGCAGAAGCAGCAGGAAAGCAGTTTTCTTTGTGTTGTAAATTTCACTCAACTAATCTCCAGGCTTTTCTCTGAGTGGAGTCTGGAAACTTGGTCCGATGTTAACAGCAGCCCACTAGAAGCAAAAACTTCAAAAGCTCATAAAAAGATCGATCCCAGGCATTGAGAATACGTTCTTGTGGCAATCATGACACGAACTCTTACGAGCACAGGCTGACCCACACAAAGGGGCAAAATGATGGCGAAACTTCTCCATTTGGTTGAAGCATAATCTCAACCTTAGAGATGACACAAAGCCAAATGCAACTTAAGCTCGAGCACTTACACGATATTCCTGCCAGAGTTTTGGATTTTTTTGTTTATAAGAGGATGAATTGGAGGGAGCAAGTGTCGGCGTGTTTGATGCTTCCACTACACTTTCTCCACAAAAACAAACTCCAGCGTGTTTACTCTCGAAAAGTCTCGACAGATCCATCAATTGCGAGCTGCTAAACTCTTTTGTTTTCATCCCCGCTTCTCCTCTCGTTTGTTTACTTGATGGGTCTTTGCGGATCATGTGAGAGGTGTTGACAAGCTGATTTTGATCGATATATGTTGGTCAACTCAAAGGAATCTCCAGATGCCGTTTTCATTCCCTCCCAAACACCCAAGACATTTCGGATCACTGTCAATGTCAGTGGCAAGTGCGAGATTTTTACGAGAGGTGAAAATTACTGCCATGAAACTTGGAAGAAGAATCAGGTGTAATTTGTAAAAATAATGAATAGCTGGCTGGCGCTCATTACGCGCGGGGTTAAACGCTCTCACATGTATTTTCACCACGATGGGCATTTATGCTGTATTCGCGCGGGAATATGCCCGGAATGGGCATATTCAGGGGTATGGTTTAGACTGGGAGGCATTTAAGAAGAGCGATGGATTGATTTGTTGCGAGCGATAGATTGTTTTGTTGGCTGTTCCTTGTGTGTGTGCGCTTGGAAAAAGAGATCCCGAGAGAGACTCAGCGAATCATCGGCATTATTTGTTTCGCAGAATCGCAGTAGCAAGGAAAGTGTGGGTGTGTTGCTCTGTTGGGGCTTTTGCGGTCGATATCTCTCTCTCTCTCTCTCGACAAGAACCACCGATCCTGCGAAGGCAAGAACGAAGAAGCTCTTGCGTTGTTCTTGCGGGGTGGAGCAGCAAATCACCAGCAGACAGTGATTGGCATTTGATATTGCGAGCGAAATTTCGTGGCTTTCCTGTTGGTTGTTCTTGTCCCTTGGGGGGTTTTGTTTTTGGGGTTTTGGATGCTTGCGAGAGGTGGCATGTAATGCGCAAGCCCGCATCGTGGGAATAATAAAAACCGGGCGCGAGAGTGTGAGCGAGTCGGGATTGACAAGGAAAGCGGAGCAAGCAGCGCGACAAATCTTGAGCAGTTTGTGATGTTCACCGCCCGCAGCAGAAAGCAGACGCAGGAGCAGATGCAGATGCAGGTGCAGGCGCAGGCGCAGGAGCAGAACGCAGAATGCAGAGCGTTTTCGCGTTTTTCTCCTTCTCTCTCTTTGTTTCCCCTGTCTGGCTTTTAGCCTAGTTCCCGTTTTGCTTGTCCGAGCATCCGATCTGCTGCACAAGGATCGTATCGATCCATCGGTTGGTCCAAATCCCGCAAGTCCTCTGATCGATCGATGGGTCGCTCCAAAGTTCTCATTTGAAGGCTTCCACCATCGAATGGATAGTTTAGCTCCCCTCTGCTAGATATAGATCTTCCCTCCATCTCTTTGGGACTCTTCGAAGATATGGCGATGGCGGCGACCATGGCTACGCATCATGAGCAGTACCACCAGATTGTTCTTGCGAAGAATGGCATGATCGACAAGAATCACCACCACCCAAGCGGTGGCAGCCCCGTGAAGAAGCTCGAGAATGGATGGCAGGAGGCACTCATCACCGAGTACTTTGAGAATGGCGGCGCCACCATCTACATTCCTCGCATCATCAATGGCTGGCTCGACCAGGAGCACCACTCCATCGGCAGCGCCACCAAGAAGAATCACCACCACCTCCAGCAGCACCAGCGCGGCAAGGTCTGTGTGCTTAGCATCGATGGCGGGGGGATGCGCGGGATCATCCCCGCCAAGCTCCTCGCGCATCTGGAGCGCCTCCTGCAGCTCAAGACGGGCGATTCCTCGGCGCGAATCGTGGATTTCTTCGACATCGTGGCGGGATCCAATGTGGGCGGGATGATTGGGACGATGCTCTTCACCGGCAAAGGGGGCAGCGATTCCAATCGCCCGCTCTTCTCCGCCGAGGAGGCCTGGAGCATCATCGCGCACAAGGGGAGATCCATTTTCAAGCGCCGGATCGAGGAGCTCAAGGCGCCGGCATCGTCGCATCCGGCTCCCAAGAGGGGATTCCTCCGGAAGCTCTTCTCCAGGAGGAAGAAGAACCCGGCGGCGGCGGCGACGGGCACCGTCCCTGGGGCGACACCGCGCGGTACCGCCGGCTGCACGGGTCCCAAGTTCTCCACCGACGGCCTCGATGCCGTGCTGCGCGACATGTTGGGCGACCGTACACTGCGCGACACGCTCAAGCCCGTACTAGTCCCGTGCTACGACCTGGCCACGTCAGCTCCCTTCCTCTTCTCCCGCGCGGGAGCGCTAGAGTCCGCGGCATGGGACTTCCGGCTCTCGGACGTGTGCCGCGCGGCATCCGCGACGCCGGGTCTCTTTCCTCCGGCGGCCGTGGCGTCGGTCGACGGCACGACGCGCTGTACCGCGGTGGACGCTGGCATGGTAATGAACAACCCGGCAGCGGCGGCCATGACGCACGTCCTCCACAACGGCGAGGAGTTTCCCGCGGTACGTGACGCCGGCGACGTGCTGCTACTGTCACTGGGCAGCGGTGTGTTTGAGCGGCGGTACGACAAGGGAGTGGCCGACTGGGGGCCGTGCCAATGGGCCAGGCCGGCGGCGGAGATAGTTTTGGACAACGTGTCGGACATGGTGGATCAAATGCTGGCCATGGCGTACGCGTCCTCGGCTGGTCGAGAAAACTACCTTCGTCTCCAAGTAAGTAGCTCCAAAAGCCGGGTTTTTTCTTTGTTTTCCTTCTGGGCACGAGCAATCATCGCTAAACTTCTATCTTTTTTGTTTTCTATCTCCTCGCAGACTGTGATGCCGGCCTCGGGGTATCCAGCCGAATCCGACGATCCAAGCGATAGTAATATCAAAAGATTGGCTTCCGTGGCGGATGAGCTTCTCGAGCAAAAGGCGATGGAGCATATGGGATTTGGAGGGATGAGAGCTTTGCAGCAAACCAATGCCGAGCGGCTGGATTGGTTTGCCGAGCAGCTCATCCAAGAGCAGCGAGCGCGAGCTCTGCGATCTTCACCCACAGTTTTACTCAAGAAGCCAAAGCCTCACTGATCGATCAGAAAGTGTTCTAGTTCTTCAAAGTTCTTCATGAATTCCCTGTAGATAAGGTTTTTACAAGTGGAAGGAGGAGAAGTTATGCTATCAACGTAGCTACATAGAAGATGATCTATCTTTCTATCTAGTCTTCTGTTAAATGCAAAACTTTGATCGCTTACTTGCCTAGAAGATTGAATGGCTTGCGTGCTTAGAAACTTGAATGGCTTGCGGTATCATGACCGTCTACGTAAGAGATACCACCACACGTAGCTCCTGCTGCTGATTTCATCCTCTCGGGATCGACACCCGCATTGCAAAGATTCGCAAACGCTCTCATGTGCTTCATCCCATACTGTCCGAGAGGTCCACACTTGGTCTCGAAGACTCGAACCTGTTAAAAAAAAGGAGAGCCGTCAGCTCGTTCCGTTAGGAAGGTTTGCTTTGATGGAAACCAAAGTGTGGAGGCACTCACCATTTCCTTGAGACAATCCCAATTATCGACAAGTGGATGTCCCTCGGGTCTCACGGAGTTGAGGATTTGGGAGGCAGATTCTGAGCCCAACAGAACGCTTCCCACAAGTTCCACGCTCCTGTCAATCTGCGTACGCCTTCCTATCACGTCCAGGAACTCTTGCAATGCCTTGGACTTCTCTAGTGAATTTTCCTTGGAGTTTTTGTACTGCAAAGCAAAGCAGAAAAAGAGAGAGAGACAAAGTTAGAAAAGTCGAAAAGATAAAAGAAAACACCAGTGTACTGACGCAATCTAGAGAACCGTGAAAAATTGGAGCTACAAAGCTTTATGAGACAATACCTTCTGCCAGAAATGTAGCAAGTCGGCATCACGCTGGCCAATGCTTGAAGCCGGTTTGTCTTGGAGAAAAAGCTTGAGCCCGACGGGCAGCAATTCTACAGCTTTTTCACTGTAGGAAGTCAAATTGGCGTTGGCCGGGTCAAACCCGAGATACAAGGATAACCTTTCCTTGTCCATGTTCGTGTCTCCATACTTCATAACATGGGATCCCATTCTATAAGTATTCGCGTCAGAGGTTCTCGCTTTTACCTGCAAAGTTATGCACAATGATAAGAATGGCATCGATCGAGCAAGCAAATTTGTTTTTTTCGCTTACAGTGTTGTACTGATCCTTCAGCCTTTCATGGTCGAGATTGTGTACTTCACTGCAAAAAGATTGAAGCCAATTCAATTCCATAACCATTTCTTTCTGATCTCAGGTACCTGTCTTCCATCCAGGCCACACTGTAAAGATCTCCGATGCAAGTATCATACTCTGGTGGTGGAGAAGGCTCCATTCCTGGACAGTAGGTTCCCCAGCTGCTTTCAACAGCGTTGGATGCCGTTGTCACGAAGATGTTTAAGTTTTTTGGAAGTAATCCCTCAAAGATGCTGCCACTCTCACAAGCTTCAATGTAAAGCACCTGTGATCACCGCAAACACGTCGTCAGAACTTCCCCGTTCCAACACAAAGCCAAGCATACCATTTCCTTGTACTTATTGTTGTCGTGCATATCTTGGAGAGTTGTGACCAAATCAACAGCATATAAATACGGAGTGACCGGCATACCTGCGTAGCATGTTTAAGTATATACCGAAAGAGGAAAAGAATGAAGCTGTGCCTTACCAAGTACGCCAGGACCCCCATGATCCGAGTAGAACACAAAGATATGATCATTTGGACCACTTTCCACAACTTTTCCACTGCCGCCTTGAAGAGCTTCTTTATCCCCGCGAAGGACTGCCAGAAAATTGTTCACTGTGACTTGATCTCCAGTGTAGTCCTGTAGTGGAAAAATAAAGAACAGGCCTTTTAGTGTTCTGGAAGTTGTCTATTAGAATGAAAGAGATTGTTCTCACTTTTGGAACACCCGCATAAACGTTGTCTCCATTGGGGTGATTTATCATGACTCCAGGCCGGGGATTCGCAAAGTTATTCGCGATGTCGTCATACATGAACACCACTATATTCTCTTCTCTCATACCTCCCCTCCTCAAGAGTTGATACGCATGGCAAACATCCGCCTGGAATTTTTTTTTCCAAAACATTAGAGCTAGATCCTCGAGAAGAACAAGAAAAGAAAGTTCTAATAATACTAGAGCCAAGATTTCTTTGATCGCTAAGTTACCTGGTGTCTGTAATTCCAATATCCAGCTGAGCCAGCGAGTAGAACAGCCCATCGCGTGCCACGGGCGGATTGATCCTCCAAGAACTCGTCGCTTGCACTCGAATCCCTCTTCCACTCGAATTTTCTCGCAGCGCAGGCCTGCTGCGCAAGAATCAGCAACCAGAGGACGCATTCCAGACGAAATCGCCCCATTCCCGCCCGAGCGCGCTCGAAATCTAGACCTAGTAAGCTAGGAGGAGGAGATGTGGATGCGATTACGCACGAAAATGATGGATCGCTGTGATCTTGACACGCATCATGCCAAGTCGCGCTTATTAGCAGCCATGCAATGCAAGACAATAAAATATCGCCACAACAGCTCTGCTCTCCCTATTCCCGGGCCCTAAACAAAGAAAAAGAAGAGGGAGAGAATAGAAAGATCTAGATTCCTCGTCCTCCTGCGCAAAGCGCCAGCGCCATCGCCAAGGCTTTCCATTTTCGCCAAGTGTTACGTGTCACTTCCAGTAGCACCCACGTGTCCCATGCAAATAGGGCTTACTTGGCACCACCATAGCCAGCCACGCCGTTTTACGTGAAAAAATCGGTTCGATTCCCAGGCCCTACAAAGTCGGTCTGGTCAGTCACTCCAATCACTTTCTACAAGGGAAGGAAACCAAGAGAAGCAACCAATGCTTACCTCTCATTGAAAGGATATCATGTCGTCAGTGGCTTTAGATCTTGTAGACTTTGTAGCCATCGTCGGGATTTTTCATTCCGTCCTCCCAGTCGCCAAATTTGTTACCGCCAAACACGAGCAACTTCATGCCGACATGGCTACGCAATGATAGGAAAAAAAAAAGGTTTTTTCTTATCGAGAGGCATAAATCTAGTGAGACTTACTCGGAGCTTACAGCAGACAAGGAATTTATGATCACATCCCACGCAAGCGGGTCGGACGTTCCCAGATCGACCCTGCTTTGTTGAAAAGCAAGATTTTTTAGATCGTAATAGAAGCTTCCGAGATTTACCAGACTCTTCCGATAGTGTCTTGGTACTCTATATCGCCAATGTTGTGGAAGTAAGCTGGCAAGGATTGCTTGGCTAGTTCCGCGGAGTACTTTGGTGGTGCTTCTACTGGCAACTTCGTCAGCTGAGAAAAATCTCCAAAAAACACACAGTGAACAAAATTTTTTGTATCATCGCTCTTACTTGCATGTTAAAGGTGTTGAAAGCTCCCAGCTTGCCAAGAATGTACCATGATCTAAAGACCTGGATTGCCACTTAAGAATCACACTTTAATCATCTTAAAGTGAACTTACGCCTCCGATGATGTCCAAGTCCTTTTCTGTTGGCGCACCACACAGCTCGAACCAAATAAATGCTCCCGCTGGATCGAAGCTGTGTTGACAATTACAGTAAACAAAAATGAGCGAGAAAGAACTATGGAAACGTACTCTCGGAACTGTACTTCCAGAGGTATAGCAGTACCAGTCTTCGGAGTAAAGAGGTCATTTCCTTTCCGTAGTACCCTGTCCCTCAACTATAAAGAAAGAAAAAAGAGGAAAAAACAAGAAAAAGAGTGAATGAATTCTTTCCGAATGAAAAAGTGCTCACCCGTTTTTCCATCTCCTCTGGATTGCCAAGGCTGTCACCGAGAATCTCCCGAACTTCATCGTCATTGCGAGCTTGGTCTTCAAAAATCCTGGCAGCAAAGGAAATACATAGCATTTGTCAGCACAAACACGAAAGGAATGAGCAAACCTTGCCCATTCGGGGTATGTGGAGTCTTCCTTCTCCTTGCGAGCTTGCTTCTCATACCTTACTTTCTCCAGCCTTTTTGCCCTCGCGCCGCCCCCCTTGAATCCTCCTCCCTGATCGCTCTCATCCGTGGCATCGATGTCGCTGAAATCAGCCCCAACAGCGCAAATGCGAGCGCCGATCCTGCGCCGTCGCCACTGGCATTTCTTCACCTGGACTGGCAGCGGCCGCCATAGCCTCGGCGGCGAGAGCCAGCAAGAAGAAGCCATAGCTAAAATCCTGGACCCTAAAATTTAAATTATGGCGGTAAGTTTTAATTTGCAAAAGAAAGGTCACGCGTTCGAATCTTGCCCTGGCCCTGGCTCTCCTTCGTCCGGATAAGATCCACCACTACCAGGTATGGCGCTCTCTTTCTTTTTCTCTCGATCCTTCTATCTCTCTCCGACGATCGTCCTACCTAGGGTATTTCGCGTTGAGCGTCGGGCATGGAGACAGTGTCAACGATTTCGAGGCCGCATTGCGGTGAGTCGGCGCAGCCGAGGCGATTGGAAAGCTCGTTTCTAGGGAAATTTAGGTCGCCGGCGATGGATCGGGTAGCCATGGCGAGCAGCGAGCGATCTTTGCAAGTCTTGACGATTGAAGCGTCTAAGAGGAAAGGGCCGATGCGGAGGATGCAGCAGCAGCAGCAGATGCAGCAAAGATCACTCCCGAAAGTCCCAGCGGCGGAGGACGACAATCCGCGATTCGTGATCTTCATTCGCAGTAAGAACGTAAGCTCACGATCGATCGCTCGTTCTTTGGAATCTAATACTTTCTTCCAGGTTCCACTTTGGTACCCTTTAAACATTGTCTCGGGAGGAAATGCGGCAAAGTTCATGGTGGGAGTCACTAAGAACGAGTGGGGAAAGAAGATCTATGGCAACAGCTTGACAAACAACATCGGTGCTGCTGTTTACAAAGTAAGCACGCCGATCGGAAAGATCGGACTGAAACAAACATCGGCTTTGGAATTTCATAACGATGGTTTCTTAGATGTGACCAGGACGAGGAGAAGATCATTGCCTCGGTGGTGAAGACCTACCCCACGCTGAAAACAGCGAAGGAGTTCCAGTTTGGTTACAAGCTCGTGGTAAGTGCTAAGACTGTTCTCGAGCTCGATCACACTGCTTCGATCCTCACAAATCTCTTGCTTCTTGAAACAGGACGAAGAGAAAGCCAACGAAGCTCTCCGGCCTGTGGATGTCACTCTGGTCAGGATCACTTATTTTTTCCTCTCGCCAAAGTTCTAAGCATTTTTTCTTGTTCTTGATCCAGATTCCTCCCAAAGAGGATCTCAAGCCCATCACAGAGAAGGTCACCGACTTCGTGGGAAAGGGCGTGGACAACTTGAAGAGCTCCCTTGGCCTCTAAAATTTTCAAATCCCCAGAATATTCTCACAATCTCCCGCGAGTTTTTCAACGGCCTGGATCTCTCTCGCCACGAGCGGCTGGGATTCGACCTAATTAGGGTTTAGGGTTTATGGCGGCTGGGAGAGGGCTTTATAACGATGCGCGAGAACGAAGGGTTTTTGCGTGGACGGACTCACAATCTAGAAGTGGAGCGGCTTGTTTTGGTGTCGTAAGGTCCACGGTGGGTCGCCACAGATTGATTTTCTGCGCTTGTTGATGATCGCCCTCTCGGGGGCGGGATTCCGAGCGGCAGCTATCACATATTCCATTGCCATGGGGAGCGGCTATGCCGCGATTACCTCTTTGGACAGACCATGTGATAAACATCCCCCAAACTACTCTTCCTTTCTCTCTCTCGATTCTCTAGTGCAGTGATGATCTTTCATCTTTTTCGCATCCATTCGCTATCAGAGAAATCTGTGCTGAGCCCGAGATGAAATGGTCTGATGCTCTGAATGAATGGAATGAATGGAACTTTTGTTGCGTTTGAAGGATTTCTCCGAAAAACAAACCACCGTGAGCAAACCAACTTTACACTTTAAACTTTAAACCAAAAATCACAAAAAAGTACCGAATGGATGAACTTTATGATGGCAAAAGAAGCAAAAAGAATTGTCTTTCCATTTTCTTCGTAAATAATCTCATTCTCAGTAGCTGCGTCCCCAGAGAGCCCACTTCTTTGCAGGTTTTTCCGAAGCAAAGCACCTCGTCCCTGAGAAAAAAGAGAAATTATTCGCGAAAACCAGCCCCGAGGAATCGTGATACCTTCTGGGAGATCTGGCTGATCGAGAGGCATGCACAGCGTCTTGGCAGCTCCACTCTCTCCTTTGGTTCTGGCCTTGACGTCCTCTTCTACTTTCTGCCAAATATCAAACAATCGTGTAAGGAAATGTAAATGCAAAGTTCTTGTAACTCACCTCTTCGTCACACCATGGAGCGAGCACCATCTTCTTGTCGTCCAGGGCCTTCATAAACTCCTTCCAAGTGTACGCCTTGACGATGCAATCGTCCCTCTCTTTGCGAGCCTTTTCTAGCAGCTGGAGTTGGATCTCTTCCAAAAGCTCGCTGATACGGTCGACGATCTTGTCCATTGGCACATCTTCTTTAGCGCCAGTATCCCGCCTCACAACACGGACCTGTAACAAAAGAACCAAGTTCTCACTAGAACAAAAGAAGTGAACATACCTGACTGTTTGCTAGATCTCGAGGACCAATCTCAACTCTCAAAGGGACGCCTTTGAGCTCCCAATTCGAGTATTTCCAACCCGGCGAATAGTTGTCTCTCGTGTCCTCCTTCACTCTCAGTCCAGCGGCTTTAAGCTGGCGAGCTGTGCTAGCGGCGGCGTCAAAAAGCTTCTGTGTGTCCACGTCCTTGTAAGGCACTGGAATTATGATAACCTGTACTGGAGCGACGCGAGGAGGGAGCACCAGACCCTTGTCATCTCCATGTACCATGATCATGACGCCAATCTTACATGTAGCAAGCAAACACGAAGTCAGGAATCAAGTGGAAAAAGAAAGAAAGAAAGAAAAACTGCTTACTGTTCGAGTAGTCAGACCCCACGAATTCTGCCAAACTTTCTTACGCTCACGCTTCTCGTCCTCAAAAACAATGTCGAACATTTCCGCAAAGTTCTGGCCCAAGCAATGCGAGGTAGCACCCTGGATTCCACGACCAGTGAGCGGAATAAATGCCTGGAACAAACAGTACCAGTTGAATAAGTTCAGGCTTCGAATCAGACTTTTTACCTCCACAGTCGTCGTGTAGAGTCCACCCGCGAACTTCTCGACTTCACTCTTCACCCCCTTGATGACGGGGATAGCGAGTAATTCCTCGTACACTCTTCGATAGAGATCAAGCACCGCATACACTTCCTCATCCGCTTCTTTCTTGGTTGCATAAGCGGTGTGGCCTTCTTGCCAAAGAAACTCACGACTCCTGAAAAGAGAATTACGTATCATCTCAGAAAGAGAATCGAGGAGAAGCTACCTTATGAAAGGAGTTGGGTGCTTAAACTCCCAGCGAACCACGTTACACCACTGGTTGATCTTGAAAGGAAGATCTCTGTGACCCCGAATCCTCTTAGCAAAAATGGGGTACATCACGGTTTCGCTGGTTGGACGGATGGCTATAGGGACTTCCAGAGCCGATTCTCCCGACTTTGTCACCCATGCAACCTGGAAAACTGGATCTTAGCATCGAGAAAAAAATAGTCGCGGATCTACCTCAGGAGCAAATCCCTCTACGTGTTTTTTTTCCGTGACAAGCGCTCTCTCGGAAACAAACAGTGGGAAGTACGCATTTTCCACTCCTAGATTTTTAATCTCCCCATCAAGAAAACGCTGCAAAAAGGAGAGAAGAAATAAAGTTACGCTTTGCGATGAAAATCTAAGATCATTGACTTGCCTGGATCGACTCCCAGATCGCGTAAGACCATGGAAGAAGAATGTAGCAGCCGGAGATATCATAATACTCGATCATATCACCCATGACAACCACCTATGAATCGTTGAAAAGATAAAATCAAAGCTCTCCCGAGATCCAACCTAGTAATGCGCTTACCTCGCTATACCACTCCCCGAAATTCTCCCCTTTCTTCACTGTGAGGCCAAGCCCGGTCTCCTTCTTCCCCTCCTTCTTGGCTGCAAGGCGCTCGAGACTAAGAAAGAAGCGCATTCGCGACAAAATTTGCTTACCAGCTACTGGCGCCTGCGATGGCTTCTTCTTCTCCTTTTTCTCCTTCTTCTTCGCCTCCACTGGCGCCATCGCCTCCGTCGCCTCCATTGGCCGCAACGCAAGAACCCTAAATCTCTGTAGAGGTTTAGCCAGGAGATTAAAGCCGCTAGACCTTAAGCCCGATGAAACGAACATTCTTGGATTTGAAAAAGAGGCCCTAGAGAACAGGGACGTCTTACCACCCGTGACAGCGCCAGGGTTTTCAGAGCGCGGCGCGTAAATTCCATCCATGCTAGCTGTTCTCACAAGTTCCTGCCTCGCACTGGGAGGTAGAATCCAAAAATCCTCGCTACTTGCCAGTGCGCCGGGACGAAGATCGTCACTCCATCTTTTCGACCAGCAGCAATCGATCGAGCGTCGCTGCGATGCAAGAATCCAGGCAGGAGGAGGGCCGGGATTTCGAAATATTTCCGGCTATGGCGGTGGATGAGCAAGAACAGGACGATCCAGGGCCCCGGCACTCCAAGATCACGGCCGAGCTGATCGTCAATCTCGAAGATCCCGTCCTCGTCTATTCGAAATCCTCGCAATCGAGCCACCAGGTCTTGTATCTCTCGCATCTCGATCGCCAGGCGCCGCTCTTCATGTATAGCTTGTATTTCTATCGCTCCGGCGGGGATAGCGGCGTCTTCGATCGCCTCCGCGACGCCATGGAGCGCAATCTCGTGCCGCATTTCCCCGCGGCGGGCAGGATCAGGTATGGCGAATCCGGCGAGCCGGAGCTCCACTGCGGGGATCAGGGCGTGGTGCTCGTGGAGGCCTCCACCGACGCGAGGATCGACGATTTCGGCGATATGCGCGACGCGAATCAGGAATTCGAGAAGTTCGTGTACAAGATCCCGCCCAGCTCCGACACCGCTTTGATCGTGGCCCAGGTAGAAATGTCGTGTTCTTGGTGTTCTTCACGATAGATCCATGGCTGGCTTTCCAGGTGACGCGATGTGGGTGTGGAGGCTTCGTGATTGGATTTGGATCCAGGCACGAGCTCTTCGACGGGCTGAGCGCGCTCCATTTCCTCTCGGATTGGGCGGCGCTGGCGAGAGGAGGGGTAGAAGAGATCGAGCCGCCCTGTCAGGACCGCCAGCGCCTCCGTCCCAAGATCAAGGCGGAAGAGCCCGACCGCGCGATCGATCTCGGCGAGCTCTACCGCGAGAGGTTCCAGGGGATTCCACTGCTCCGACCGGGTAGTGCCAGCGCTGCCGAATCGATCGAGGAGTATTTGGGTGCTCGGCACAAGTGCCGCGTCAAGGCCTTGAGCATCAGCGACGAGATGATCCAGCGATTGAAGGCCAGGGCGATGGATCGCGACGAGGGCAGCGCTCTCTCCTCGTGCACCACATTCGAGGTCCTCGCCGCGCACGCCTGGCTCGCGCGGATCAAGGCCCTGGAGATCGGCGATGGCGAGCGCGCGCTGCTGGAATTCACCGTCAACACGCGGCCGAAGATCGATCTCCCGCACCGATTCATGGGCAACGCATTCATCATGGCCTACTCCAACGCCGCCGCGGGGAATCTCCTCTCGGCGCCATTCCACGCGGTGGTGGGCGCGATCCAGAGCGCCAAGGCGAGCGTCACCGAGGACTACATCTGGGGATCGATCGACGCTCTCCGGGCGGCGCACAGCGTCAAGGGATCGTCCGGGCTGCTGCCATCCTTCCGGCAGACGACGATCGTGTCGGATTGGACGAGGTTCTCGTTCGATCAGCTGGATTTCGGGTGGGGCGCCGCGGCATTCGCGACGCCCGTCGCGATGTTGCTGCCAGACGTGCTGTTCTTGCTGCGGGATGGGATGGATAAGCGCCGGATTTGCCTCAAGCTCGGGCTAATGCCACACACCATGGAGAAATTCGAGAAGAACTTCTATGATCTGGGTTCGTCATGATGATCCCAAGCGTACGGCAGATCACTGACTGTCATGTCGTACGAGTTCTTTATCAAAATTATATCATGGAATGAAACGCAGTGACTGCCTTGGCTTGATCCAGGAATGCCGCAGCATCACGGTCGCAAGGGAGCTCCACAAGCGCATCCAATCGGCGATCCATGCCACTGATCTCTTTCTCCTCAACAAGCTCATCGAGATGTATGGGCGGTGTGGAAGCGCCGAGGATGCGCTGCTCGTCTTTGATTCCATGGCCACAAGGGATTGTTTCTCCTGGGATCTCATGCTCACAGTCTACTGCAAGAACCGCCAGATTGATCAAGCCAGGGAGATATTCCACTCGATGCCAGGCAGGAATCTCGTGTCTTGGAACTCTCTTCTTACTGCATATGCCCAATGTGGGCATCTGGATGAAGCCAAGGCGTTGTTTGATTCGATGCCGCAGAGAAATTTGGTGTCCTGGACGACAATGCTGCTAATCTTTACACAACACGGCAGAATCGAGTTATCAAAAACTATGTTCGATGAAATGCCTGCGAGAGATTTGGTGGCCTGGACCGCGATGGTGGTTGCTTATGCCCAAACTGGGCATTTTGAGAAAGCGACATTGATGTTTGATGCAATGCCTGCTAGAAATCTCGTCTCTTGGAATGGGTTACTCTCGGCTTTTTCACAGCACGGGTGTTTTAACCAAGCAAAGGAGATGTTCTTGACAATGCCTGAGAGGGATATTGTCTCGTGGAGTGCCATGCTTGCTGCATATGCCCAGAACAGGCATCTGGAGGACGCTGTAAGGATCTTTGCCGATATGCCAGAGACGAATCTAGTGTCTTGGAACGCAATTCTGTCGGCTTATAGTCAGAATGGAGACGTGGAGAGACCAAAGCTAGCGTTCAGTAAGATGCCAGAGCACGACATAGTGTCTTGGAGCGCTCTCCTCGCAGCATTTGCCCAGGCCGGGTATTTGGAAGATGCCAAGATTGTGCTGGATACAATGCCCGAGAAGAATCTTGTAGCGAGCAATGTGATGCTTTCGGCTTACGTCCAAGCTTGTCGAGTTGAGGATGCCAAGAGCTTATTCGATGGATTGTCGGAGAGGAGTATCGTGTCATGGAATGCAATGTTAGCTGCATATGCTCAGTCTGGAGACATGGAAAGGTTGAAAGAGCTGCTGGATCAGATGCCGCTCCACAACTTGATCTCGTGGAACACTTGTCTCAGCGCTTTTGCTCAGCACGGGCAGCTCAAGAACGCGAAGAGATTGTTCTCGGAGATGGTCGATCGAGACATAGTTTCGTGGAGCATCATGCTGGGAGCTTATGCCCAGACCGGCTTCGTGGGCGAGGCCGAGGAGATCTACAATGCAATGCCGCAGAGGAATCTGGTGTGCTGGAATTCGATGCTCTCGGGATATGGCGACAGCGGGCAACTGAGCAAAGCGAGGCAGCTCTTCGACGAGATGCCGGAACGAGATATCGTCTCGACGAGCGCGATGGTGGCTGCGTATTCTCGCCTGGGATTCGTGGAAGAGGCAAAGCACGTCCTGGACACGATGCCGCAACATAACTCGGTATCGCTCAACACCTTGCTCGACGCTTACACTCGAAACGGCCACCTCGAGCTCGCAGTGGAGATGTTTCACGCAAGAATGCCAGAGCGGGACGTGGTGGCCTGGAGCATTATGCTGGTTTTGTTCACGCAACTCGGCGGCCATCTCCGGGAAGCAAAGAGGCTTTTTGATGGCATGCCCGAGCGAGACACCATTGCCCACAGCGTCATTCTCTCGGCCTACGCTCACAACGCCGCTCACTTCCACGCGGCTTGCTCCATTTTCTACGAGACAAAGCTCGCAGCGATGGCGGACGGAGCCGGCTTTGCAGCGGTGATCGCTGCTTGCAGCCACGGAGGCAAAGCTTTCGTGGGAAGGGACTTGTTCGTGTCGATGGTGGCAGATCACGGCGTGAAGCCGAGTAAGCAGCACTACTCGTGCCTGGTCGATCTCCTAGCTCGCTCAGGATATCTGGTCGACTGCCAGGATCTCATAGCTCATATGCCCTTTGTCCCGGACGCTCTCGAGTGGACGTGCTTGCTCGCGGCTTGTTGCACGCTCGGCGGAAGCAGTGTGGAGATCGGGGCTCGAGCAGCAGGGTCTCTGGTGGAGATGGACGCTGGTAGTGCTCAAACTTTTGTGCTGCTCGCAAACTTGCGTTCGTGGTCAGGGGAGAGAGAGAACTTAACCAGAACCTCACAAGTCAATGAAGGTCAATAGCAGTCAATAACATTCTTCATAGACTATGTTTGGCTTCCATTGACTACCATTGACTTTGAGCTCAACTCATAAAGAGTTTCACATTTGTAGATTTCTATAAAATGAGACTCACAACTATGAAATACTTACCATTGCAGCATTTACCAGATGGGCATTTTCACTGTTGCTCTTGATAACACGACGTAACAATTGCCGTGCATGGGCAATTGCAGGAGATGATGAAACCTCAGACTCAACAAACAGTGAAAAGATATTTTCAAGAGTAAGATTTTCCTATCTCCTGGCAAACATGATCATGGAGACCCCGATCAAAGCAACGATCGATCCAACCACGTCCCACACATCCGGCCGCGCGCCCTCGGTGATCCAGCCCCACACCAGCGACAGCACAATGAAAAACCCACCATACGCCGCAAAGGTCCGCGCAAACGTCTGCCTCTGGAGCGTGGGGATGATCCCATACACCACTAGCAGAATGGAGCCCAGGATGAAGAAGGCCCAGCTCCATCCCTCGCGCCTCCACTTCCACACCAGCCAGCCCCCTCCAACCTCGCAAATGCCCGCCACGATGAAGAGAAGGATCGCCAGCGCCACGCCCTCGGCATCGTAGCTCACCATGGTTGCTTTGCTTCGCCTTGCTCCTCTTTTCCTTCTCTCTTGCTTCCGAAACCCTCCAAAACGCCGCCGCTACTGTTCTTCCCGCTCTCTGCTATAAATGATAGCCGGAATGCTTCAAACTTTGCCCGCCACCATCACATCGATTTCAGTGAGCGCACTGAGCAAGAGAGAACAAAAAAAAAGAAAAAAGAATCAAAAGAGTGAGCGAGACAGCTCCTACGTACGAGAAGAAAAAAAGAGTACCTTTTAGTCAATGTAGATTCGATCAAAGTCCTTTCAGTGGCTTCTGGACAGATACCATCTGAGCGGCCTTTGCAACATGAGATCCTGCAAGAACAAAAACACAAAAACTTCACCATCGCGTGAGACGAAGCACAGTGAGATCAAGCTTAGCTTCCGAGCTACTCGAAAAGAATTGACAGCGAATGGAATGGATGGAGGCGCTCATACCACCTCGTCTTGTTTCGTCACACACTGACGCGTTACGACATCGCACTCCACTGCTGCGTTCTCGTTCTCGTTCTCGTCCTCGTCCTCGTCCTCGTCCTCGTCCTCCTCGGTTAGTTCTTCCTCGTTTGATCCTTCCTTTTCGTCTTCTTCTTCACCGGCTCTTGTTGACGTCGGAGCAACCGCTGCTGCTGCTGCTACATACTGCGTGTAGTCGAAGCTTACGTGGTTTCTTTCTGATCGAGCATCGGACATGTCTCGCTCAAACTCCGTCTTGACTTTTCTCAACGCTGCAGCGTATTGTCGATCCAGTAAATCCAGCTCCGTTTCAATCACTCCCTGGAAAGAGTCAGGCAATCAGACTCAGAGAAAACCCGCGAGGCTTGTCTTACCAGATCGATTTTTAGCCAACGATTGAACGTGTTCGTAATTGCTTGTTTCTACAAAACAAAAAGCATGTAATAAAAGATTTCTCGCAGATCTGCAATCGAACAAACCTGTGCTGCTTCCCAGTCCGATTTGGAATTGCCACTAAGGCCCTTGCTGCAGCGACATTCATAGATTTGTCTTGACACGGCTGTCAGCTCTTTTGATCTTCCGTCTGTACGAGAGATTGCATCAAAATCAATTTTGTTCCACTTAAATACTTTTTCACTATCATACCCAGTAATCTTCTCCTGGTTTCGATCCAGCAGTCAATGTAGGGATGCGCTATGCTTCGAGCTGATCTAATAACATTAACAGCGTCATCGAGGTCCATTCCCTGAGAAAAAGAAATCGAAGTTAAACTCTGATAAAAACACTTCGAAGCTCTTGCCTGTATAAATGTAAGATATCCTACGACCGTTAACGTAGCACGATTGATACCGGCAGTGCAATGGACGTAAACCTTCAATCCTCGCGCGACAAGCATGTTTAACATCCTCACCGCTTCTGGCAACATCAGTGCCTGATTGAGACCAATGAGTTAGGCCAGCTACAAAAATGAACTGGAGAGCTACAAAACAAACCTGATCACCGTGGTCGAAGTCCCGGATAGGGACCCGCTCCAAGTAGACGCCTCTTTCTGACGCTCTTCGTTTTATGCTCTCAAATGGTATCTGACTCGCAAAATACAAATCTCGATCAGAGTTCTGAGACCATCAATCCTCAAACTCTATTACCTTGAGAGCATCCAAACAAACATCCGACTGCACGCTTAGAATCGCATTGACCCCACATCCCTCGGCAATTCTATCCTGGCAGGCACCATACAAATTAGCCTGCCATCCAAAAGTAAAACAAAAACATCACATACCACATCGTCGGGACTTCGTGGACAAGAGCCAACAACAATGCTTGAAGTGATCTCGTTCCAGTTTAGAGTCCAGTGCCAGGATGACGTCGATCCTCCATTTTCTGCTTCGTTCTAGACAGCTTGAGCACAAGCTTTAGAACCTTGGAGAAATCGCAAGAACATATCATATACCTGACGCTTTTCCCAGCCTTCTTGCTCAGTCTCCGTGGCTGGAGCGGTGCTCTGAGCTCTACAACTTACATCCAGCCCACGCCCCATCCTTTCTCGCAAAGTACACGGACTTTCTTCCTCTGGCAAAATCGCGTAGCCCCCTACCTTCATCATAGTTCTCAAAGTCTTCTTTCCCGGAATGCTAGCTATGGACGATTTCCCCTTGCTGGCACCATAGCTGGCTTGTAGAAACGAGCAAGATGACGGAGAAGTCGAGGTCGGCGGCGGCGGCGGCGATGGGAATGGCGACAGAGCGGCAATGCGAATTTCGCTCGACACGGCCAGCGCCATTGCGCAGCACGTCGTTGCTCGCCTTTAATCTGCCACAGCCACGAACAAGATGGTCATAATCCAGCTAGAAACAGTGCCGATTCGCCGGATTCCCAGCTCCTCTCTTTTAAAAATCGCTGCAAGAATCCACGCCGAGACCAGGTCTGGTGGAGAGATCGCGAAATTGATCGAATCGGACTGAGTAAAAAGGGGCGATCGATTGAGAGCGCATTTACCTCGCGGCGGCTCCTCCGATACACGAGGAATGGATCTTTCTCGCGCACGACGTCACGATGCACGCTCCTTGACTGCGTGCGCCATCGAAGAACAAGACGACGAACAAGGGAGCGAAGAAAATACGAAATAAAAACCTCTTGTGATCTGATACACTGTTTAACCTACGAAATCCGTCCGTCCATATTCAGCGCTTTTCACGTGGGCAAAAAGTAAAGAGCCCTAGATTCTGGTATCTTTTCCTTTCTTTTGGTATATTCTCTGTAAAAGGTCAAAAGCCCTAGATTCTGGTATCTTTTCTTTTTCTTCTGGTATAGAAGAACCCTAAAAATGCGTGGGCATGAGGCTTTGCTCCAGCGCGAGAGATCTAGCCGACGCGCGGCGAATCCACGCCGGGATCGTGAGAGCGGGGCTGGGGTCCGACAAGCGCGTCGTCGATCAGCTCATCCAGATGTATGGCAGCGTGGGGAGCGCGGCCGATGCCCGGGCGGTGTTTGAGGGATTTGCCGCCGCTAGCACTGAGCCGCCGGATGCCTTCCTCTGGACCGCGATCATCACGGCCTTCTCCAGGAATGGTGACCCGATCGCCGCGAGGGCGATGTTTGATCGAATGCCAGAGCCCAAGCATCCAGTCCCCACGAACGCGATGCTTGCTGCCTATGCCAAGAACGCCCTTCTGGAGGATCTCTCGCAATTCTTCTCCTGGATGCGCGATCGCAGCATCTTCACCTGGAACACGATCCTTGCAGCGTACGCGGGCAGCCTCGCGATCGAAGCAATGGAGCTCGTCTTCACGAAGATCCCCGAGAGGAATGTGATCTCTTGGAACACGATCGTGACTGCCTATGCCGAGGCTAGGGATCCAAGACGCGCCAAGAACGCTTTCGATACTACCCCGGAGAGGAGCATCGTCTCCTGGAACGCGATCGCCGAGGCATTCGCCGTGAATTCCGACACCGATGCCGCGATCCAGGCATTTGATCGAATGCCGCAGCACAATCGCGTCTCCTGGACCGCGACCTTCTTGGCTCGCGCCGATCACCGCCCGCTGGAAGAGATCAAACACCTCTTCGATCGAATCCCCGTGAGAGAGCCCGGGACATGGACAGTGATCGTCGTCCGCTGCTCGAAATCCTCGCAGCCCACAGCAGCGCTGGAGCTCCTGGATCGAATGCCGCAGTGGAACATCGTGTCACTCAACGCAGCGCTCCACTCGCGGTCGATGGGCGATCTGGAATCCGCGATGGCGATGTTCTCGCAGCTTCCGGAGAGGGATTCCATCACCTGGAACGTGATGCTCAACGCGTTCGCGCGATTGGGCTTCTTGGATCGAGCGCGCGAGACCTTCGATCGGATGCCCCAGTGGCACCTCGCGTGCTTCAATTCTCTCTGTCACGGCCTCCTTGGCAGCGATCCGCGATCGATCAAGGAGATCTTTGACTCCTCTCCCGAGCACAACGTAGTCTCCGCGACAACGATGATCGTAGCGTATGCCCAAACCGGGCATCTTGGCGAGGCCGAGGCGCTCTTCGATTCGATGCCGCAGCGCACGGTCGTCACCTGGAACGCGATGATCACGGCCTACGCGAGGAATTCGTGCCTCCGCGACGCCAAGGTCGCCTTCGATCGGATGCCCCAGTGGAGCGTCGTGTCGTGGAGCTCCATCGTGGGGGCGCTGGCCAAGAACACGCGCGTGGGCGAGGCCAAGGCGGCGTTCGACGCCATGGCGGAGAGGAACGCCGCCGCCTGGAACACGATGATCGCGGCCTACGCGCAGTCGAGCCAGCTTGAATCGGCCATGGCGCTCTTCGACGCGATGAAGCTCGAGGGGATCCAGCCGGACGCGAACACGTTCACGGTGGTGCTGGGGGGATGCGCGGCGGCGGGGGCGGTGGCGGAGGTGTGGCGGAACTGGGCGCTGCTGGCGGAGTTTGGGGTGGCGGCGATTCGGGAGCACTACAGCTGCGCGGTGGATGTTCTCGGGCGCGCGGGGATGCTGGAGGAGTCGGAGGAGGTGCTGGCGGCGATGCCATTCGTGCCCGACGATGTGGCGCTGGGGACGCTGCTGGGGGCGTGCTGGACGCAGAGTGATGTGAGGCGAGGGGAGAGTGTGGGGGGTCTGGTGCTGGAGATGGAGCAGCACAGCCCATCCAGGTACGTGCTCCTGGCAAACCTCCTGGCCACCGAGACCGTTGACCGGACCGTTGACGTTCTATGACAAGGTTTGACTGACCACGACTGTTATGGGGAATTTTATTGACCATTGAGCTATCCGTTGACTCCGTAGCCGTTGACTATCATGGAGTTGGCCGACTTTGGATTGGAATCTAAGAGAGCTTTTGGTTTGTAACAAGAACTTTTGGTTACTTTTGAGTGGCTCATGTCAAGAAATTCAACCATTATCTTTTTGTGCTTCAGCGTTTGATCTCAGAAGCGCGGATAGTTTGTAATCATCGCCACAAGGAAAGGAAAAGAAAGAACTCCAGACAAACAAGTGCTCATTTCCCTAAAAGATTTTCAGGCACTAGCACGAAGAATGCCTCTGAATTTGATGGTACAGGAAAAGTAATCAGAGCACTGCAATTCCCCAAACGTGACGAGACTAGACGAGAAGAGTCAGAAATTGGGTTTTCTAGGCCCAGCAAATCGCTCATAACAATCGGAGCCCAGTGCGGTTTCATCAGCCTCAAAAAGAGAGAGAAATCTATCTATCAAATCCAAAACCCGGCAGCTATAGCAAAGAGCGAAGCCTGACGACCCACAGACCAAAGCATCGCGGCATTAGAAGCTTTGCGAGAACGATGTGCGAGCGCCATTGTCACAGGCACGAAGAGGAAGCGCGCCGCAAAGAAAAAGGAGGCGCTCGACCAAAACCCTAACAGCACATAAAGAACCCTAAGAATGCGATTAACTAACTAGTTTAACCCTTTTTCGTTAGGACGAAAATGCGTCAGTAGTCCAACGGTTAGGATAATTGCCTTCCAGCAATAGACCGGAGTTCGACTCTCGGCTGACGCATGTTTGAAGGTTATAAAATGTGTCAATTGCCTTCCAAGCAATAGAATTTAAAGTAAGCCAAAGTTAACTAGGACTACTAACCAGTCTTAGTTACTCATAAAAATGCGTCACTAGTCCAGCGGGTAGAATAATTGCCTTCCAAGCAATAGACCCGAGTTCGACTCTCGGCTGACGCATGTTTGAAGGTTATAAAATGTGTCAATTGCCTTCCAAGCAATAGACCCGAGTTCGACTGGCTGACGCAAGCTTTTAAAGAATTTAAAGTAAGCCAAAGTTAACTAATATTAACCCATCTTAGTTACTCATAAAAATGCGTCAGTAGTCCAACGGTAAGGATAATTGCCTTCCAAGCAATAGACCCGAGTTCGACTCTCGGCTGACGCAAAAAGAAACAACTTTTCTCCTTTTCTTAAGTTCTAAGGGTTTAAAGTAAAAAGCAAAAACTTGGTTCCTTCTTTCACAGAATCCGATCGGCCAGCGATGGCAACCTGCGGAAGAAATTCATGGGCACGCTGGGCGACTTGTCCCGGAACCTGGGATGCCTCATCGCATACAGCCCCACCAGGATGGCGATCACCTTGAACGGCACCACGTACAAGACGATGGCCAGCATGAAGCAAAACGTGATGAAGATCCCCGTCGCCCGAGGATCCCTCCAGCTGAGCAGCGCATGGACCCTCTCCCCCTGCGCAGCGATGTCGCCCACCACCGTCTGGAGCCGGCTCGCCGCCAGCCTCAGCCTCTCATACCTCGCCTTGACGAGATCCGGGTGCTTCTTCGTGAAAATGGTGTCGAATTCCTCGTCCAGCTCGTCCGGGGATAACCCATCTGTGGCGTGCGAGAGCTGCGCGTCCATGGACGGCGGCGCTCGCGGCCTGTGCCGGTAGTGCGCCACCCCGATGAGGAAGAGGTAGAGGAAGAGCGTCGGCAGGATGAGCTCCGGGAACCAGGCGAGGATGAGGAAGAGGACGTGAACCAGCAGCGTTGTCACCGGCGACGACCACTTGCAGATCTCGTGGAACCAGTTCGACACCACCACCAGGCCCGAGAGGACGTTCGTCAGCCGCGCGTAGTTCGCTCGGCTCCTCCGCATGCTAAACATGTTGGACTCGGTGTCGAGCATGTAGCGGATCACCTCCTGCCGGAGCGGTGGCTCCGCTCGTCCCAGCCTCCCGGCCACGATCCGGATGGCCTCGATGCGTAGCATCTCCTGCTCGGCCACCGGCAGTGGACGCGTGTAGTGGAGCTTCGGCAGCGGCGGCTGGAAGTAGGCCTGGAGGACGTGGATGAGCGTCGTGGTCGCCAACCGGACCGTGATCTCGAGTTCGCCCATCTTCTTGACGCCGCTGGGCTGGAGGGCGATGAGCGGATACGAGTTGGCGTACACCTTGTTGCTCTCGAGCGTGGACAGGCGGATCCGGATCTTGCCGATGAGGCCGTCGGGCTGCGCGTTGCTGCTGTTGTCGCTAAGGTGGCAATTGTCGAAGACGCAAATGGTGACGACGGTGCATGGGTCGTAGACTTCCCAGGTGTACTGCTCGTTCCACTTCGGGTTGAGGCTGTCCACCACGGTTCTCGTCCGGATCCACTTCGGCCCATACTTTGCGACGCAGTAGGCGTCGGTGGTGCCGCGCCCGTCCTTGTTCTTCATCGGCAGGAGAGCCTTCGCTTGGAGAATCCCGACTTGGAGGATCCCCAGGCTTTTCTTCCACAGGTGCTTAGCCGTGGGTCTCATGTCGCTGATGTAGCTCGTCGACTCGTCCATGACGTGGTAACCGCCTTCGAAGCTCAGCCTCAGGTGGACGCGGCCTTTGAATCCCTTGTCTCCGTTCTTGTCCAAGTTGTACCAGAAGGACGCCACCGGTTCCTTTGGATCGCTCCTCCTTGCGATCTGCTTGTTGCCGGCGAGAGAGATCTTGACGCTGCCGAGAACCTCAGCCTTGTCCGCGGAAACTTTGTCCTCCACGAACACCACCAGGTGCTCCTCGAAAGGCTCCGCGGCTACGAACATCTTGCTCTCGTTCCACATCGGACTGGCGCTGGGAGTTTTCGGGAACGTGGTCGTCCACTTCTGGTATGGCCCGAGAGTCACTCGTGCGCAGACGTTTGGAAAGCGCGACTTGTCCGAGACGGCCAGGTCCTGTGCCTCGATCACGTTCACCATCAGGTACCAGAGCTTGGGAGATAAATACACTTTGGCCTTTGTGTGCGCGTGACCACCTGTGTCCGACTGCCAGGCGATTGGAAAACTCTCGTCCTCCTGTGTCCCAGACCAGACTGCCAGCATCACCTCGCCTTCATCCTTCTTCACGCGGGTTTTCCGATCTTCCAGGGAGTGCCACTGAGGAGCGAGAGGACTGTCCGGAACACGGAATGGAATGTCGCTGATCTCGAGCACGACGCTCCCCAAATCTTTGCTTCCCTTCTCGTCCTCGGCAACGACAATCTCCACTGTCGGCCCCTGGATCTTGTCTTTGCTGAACGCAAAGACTTCCTCCCACACAGCAACTTTGTCCTTCTTTGTTGCCTTCTTCTTCGCGACCACAGCTTCTCCAAACTTGATCACCACATACGGCTCTTCCTTGCTGATGTTCCTCCCTTTGACGACGCGGACGTAGAGATACAGCATTTTCTCCACCAGATCATACGTCCTCACCTTCTCTGTCACCACCGGAGCTCGCTCCTTCAGGACGTAATCGGCCGCTGGAACCACAGTCGGGGGTGGCGGCCTCTCAACTTTCTTCTCGTCCTTCTTCTCGCCATTTTTCTTCTCTCCTTCCTTCTTCTCTCCATCTTTCTTGTCGCCATCTTTCTTCTCCTCTCCCTTCTTGGCCTCCTCCTTCTTGGCCTCGTCCACCCAGTACACCTTGACCCGGAGCTCCCCCTTGATGTGCGAGAAGGGGCTTCTCTTCTGCAGCAAATAGCTCACAATCGCCTCGTCCCCCTGTTTCTTGATGCTAATTCCCTCAATCCGGACTCTTCCCAGAAATCCATCCTTCTTCCTGTTGTTCTTCTCCTTTGGATGCGCCGTGAGCACCTCAATCCGGACAGCCTCCTGAGCCATGCTTTGCGCATCCCGGACTTGAAACTCGAGCTTCTCGTTCCACACCGGATTCAAATCCTTGGTCTTCACCTTGGTTGCCTGCCGCTGCCCGTCGAACTCCACAATGCAGTACGCATTGGCGGAGCCGTGCCCGTCCTTGGGCATGAGATTGTGCGCGCTCAAAATCTCCACCACCACCTTCTTTCCCATCTTCCGGGAGCCAAGGTCTCGGCGCACACCTCCCTTGTTCAAAAAAGCTCGTCAATGTGAATTTTATCTCCTACCATCGCTGTCACTCCAATCAAAGAACCTTCTACGACTGTCCCTCGCTCAACTTCTATGACTGTCCCTCGATCTCGAGAAGAAGAAAAAAACGTCACAGAAATCGACCATCTCGCAGGAGCATGCAGCAACAAAAAGCCCAATTTTGCAAGAGACACAGTGATCCAGTCTGGCTGCTGTCCGCGGCAGCATTAGTTTAATCTGGATCCCGGGACTGAACCTGGAGCCGCTTTCACTCAATGGCGAATCGCTAAAGCATCCAAAAAAGGAAACAAAGAAAGAAAAACAGCTCCCCTCTTACAAAGAAAACTCCCGCAAAAATCACAAAAAATTGGTCTACCTATGATCCTCTCTAGCTCGCTGCCTCATAAATGCACCACCACCAAGAGATCTAGACTGGATTGCACTAACACCGCTCCTACCTCACGAAATCAAACGCGACACCCCGCTCACATAAATGCCAGCGTCTATCACAAGGATTGCTTGCTTAGAAGACAAGCCTCCCAGAACACATTGTCTCGCGAATTCCTGGACAAGATGTAAGGCCTGGAAGCAAAAAGCGTCTCATTCAAGGCTTACTCTCGGACGAATTTTCTCACGGTTCATGCCCAATGTATGCCGTCAAGAACGAATTCCAGCACCAAACGTTTCCGAGAGCGATCTGCAAGGGGGAAAGAAGCGCAACGATCCTGTCAGCACGAAAGAGACGCTCCACATCACAGATAGAGAGCAGAGGAGAGAAAACTAACTGATTTGAGAGGCGCGAGTAGAGTAGGCCACCTAGAAACGCTCGCTAGCGCCGCGCGCATCCCTTCGATTCCTCGCCGCCAATTTGACCTTCCAGCTTCCGATCGATCCTATCGGTCAGAGAGAGCCAAATATTTCGCGCAAGAACCCTAGAGGCGGCAAAAATAAAAACCACACTGGAACGTTTGCAACGGGACACACATATCGCGGGCGGCGAAGTGAAGCTTCTATATCCCACGTGGCAGACGGCGTGATCCAGCGCCGTTACTCTTCCCGCCGGCGAGGACGGAATGTCCCGCCATTATTCCAAGCCGGCGAGTTGACCGGCGTTTCGTACCACGTGGCTCAAACCAGGAGTGGCTCACGCGTACGACAGTACCGAGCATGACACAATGATCAAGGTTCTCTTAACATCATAGTGTAACGATTCCACCTATCTTTTTGATCTTTTCGGACAATTGGCCTCTCTTTACGCAGCTCTTTGCGAGAGTGCGTTGCCTCTTTTCGCCTTAATCCTTTACACCTATGCGATGATCGAATTCGATCCAATTGGATCAAATTTCTCGACTCCCTTGATTGCATATTGATAGCTTGTTGCGTGACTCACACAGAAAAAAAAAATTAAAGCAAGTGATTCACAAGAATTGGAGTGTCCCATTTGTGTACGAACGTAGGCCCCATGCTGAAAGTGGTGTTTTGGAGGTTACGGGAAAAATACGATATTCCGGACGTTGACCATAATACCACTTCAAAAGATGCCATACGTACCCGTTATTACAGTGTGGTTTGCTGTTACTCTGAAAAATAACCGTGATGTCAAAGTTACAAGTACTTGAGAAAACCCACGAGGAAAGAAGAGTAACTTTTACCTTTGGAAAAGGTCTTGTTCACGCGCCTGACTTGTGAGCTTGCCAGGGAAGAACATCGATGGGTTCTGGAACATCATGGTCCGGTGTGGAATCGTCAAAGCTTCCGACCAAGCTTTTCGCGAAAGGGCCAGCTTGTTGGTGGAGAGTTAGCTGCGCGATTCGAAAGACAGCAGCTCCGAGATCGATCTGTGGTCGATCGAAAGTTCCTCGGACAGGAACCTACACGGAAAAATATAGCTGAAAAAAACTGTAAAGAGAGAGAGATGGTTAATCACCTGGAAATGGAAGTTTTTCGGAAGGTTGTTCAATCCTAGAAAGTCTTTCAGGGTTGTCTGTGGAATCACTAGTTTTGTGTTCATTTTCTCTTCGATCCAGTTGAACGCGCCCCAGGTAGCAATATGAACTTTGCCTGTTTAGAGATGAAATAGTAAGAACAAGTAGTGAATCCAAGAGCATACCCCCAATGAGAAGATCAATGCGTCGGCACGTTAAATGACCATCCACATTGGCTACGGCCTCGATAGCACTGGTTTCCATCTTGAGCTGGCGTTTTCCACCGGAGACTTCGTCCTTGTTTTTGCTTCGCGAAAGCAGCGTGAAGATCCCATCGAGAATAGGTCCTCTTGCCAATACCTATAGAGGATGACATTAAAACAGTTGGCACTTTCGGGAAGGAACAAGAAAGTACAACTTTGAACAGCTTACCACACTCATTGGTTCGAAGCGTAGCTTGTATTCATCGGCAGGAAACTTCATTTCTTTTGGAATGACTTCCAAGATCACGTCAGGCATGTCATTTTCGGCCACAGCAGGACCGACTATATACCCTAGCAAAGGATTCACTCGAGCAAGGTAGAGGCGACCGAGCTCAGGAGTGAGATCCATCTGCGACAAACGAAAAGATATATAAGTTTCTCAATCATTGACGAAAGAGAAAACAGTACCTCGATTTTTATAGGCTCGATGAGCTCGACCTTCTGATTCGAAGCATTGAGAAATCCAAGCACCTGTGCTTGAAGACAATCCGACCAGGCATTGATTTGCACCGGCAACGAACGAAGACCACCACCCGACTTAAGAGCCTCGGATCTTTCTTTCGCAGGACTGCCAACCAGAACGTCGACAAATATTTTCTCTCCAAGAGCAGCCGCTGCGTCAGCTGGAAGAAGCAGCTCTCCGCCACGAATCGTCAATCCTCCATTAACAGCCTTGAAGTCGGATGCCAGTTTCACGACTCCGGTCGAAACAACGGCATTTTTCTTCTTCGGTTGCTGATGTGCTTTACGAGTCGAGGATTCCACCGCACGAGCAAGACGAGAGATTCCGGTCTCTGGATCCTCGAGCAAGTTCATCCATAGCGAAGAAACCGTGCAATCCCCTGTGAAACCACGTTTTGATTTTCTCTCATGAAATCTGGAAACAAAGAAGGAAAAAGAGTAAACTAGGAAGTTATATCTCTTTTCCATTCTTACCGAAACCACTCCTTCCGGTTACGATCGAGAAAAGCGACGCCTTAGTCGTGATGTTTTGGATGTCAAGAACACGCTCTCCATCACCATCCTCGAGACAAATTCCTTCCAAATCCACAGGCTTCGTCCAGCCAAGGGTGGCCTTGCGAACTCGAAGTTTCCCTGGAAGAGATCTTGCTAAGAAATGATACTTTACTCATTTCACTCACCTGGAATGGTATGATTCGCGACCCAGACAGTGGCATTCAATCCTTTCTGCCAAGAAAGCATCGCCGGTAGAGCAGCCACAGTGATCGCCGCGCAGCACAGCACCGCCGCCAGGGCCCGGGAAGCAGTCGAAACCACCGCACCAAGCGATGGCATGCGCGGCGATGATTGCATCGCAAAAACACCTCTCCTGCCGCTCCAATGACGCCGAAGCGGAATTCTCACGCCATGGCGAGATGGAACGATGCTGATCACTCCCCGAGGAGAGAAATGCAATCCATGATCACAGGCAAGCGCCTGCCCGCCCATTCTTGATCCTCCAAGAACCCTAGAAAACAAACCTAGGCTTGTCTCATCACAACAATTAAACTTGAGATTGAACGGCTAGGATTTATTAAAACGTTTCAAGCACAAACCAAGAGCTAAATAAATATTCCAGTAGATTCTCTCTTCTCTAGTCCGGTGTAACCTTGTCATAGTTGAGCTCCTGGAATCTCATGCTCACCCGCATAGCGTGCTTTAGAAATTTCTCCGCGCAGCGCTTCACGCACGTCTCCTCCTGCTTCTCCAGCGTCTTACGCCGGAAGGAATCCACGCAGTGCCCAAAGCATCGCTCCACCAGCGCGTTATACATCCTCAAGCTGCGCCAAAATGCCCAAATCCATCCCAAAATCCCATCCAACGCAGAGACATTTACCTGTCGCGGGCTTGCAGCGCATCGATCATGCCCGCAATTCGCTGCTGATCCTCCTCCGCCATGCCGGCTACCTCCATGCTCGCTCTCTCCATCGCTCCTTCTCCTCAAGAACCCTAAACCCAGAAAGAAAGGAAGAACTTTACCATGGTCAAATGCTATATATAATATTTCACATACAACCCTTTTGTGTGAACGAACACGAAAGCTTCAAAGCCTACTTTTTCTTATTAGTAAGAGTCAGCTCCCTCAACTTGCTGCCTCGCCAAATACTTTTCTCGACGCTCTTTCTGCAAATCATTGACAAAGTTTGTGAGTGACGAGAGAATTGGAAAAAAACTTGGTACCCATTCGTCAATGACAAGCCCCTCCACGACTGCTCCTTTGGGGTTTTTCTCCTCACAAGGTTTCTTGCGGGCTTCCTGCGCTGCCTCGGCCTCCGCTAGACGCTTCCGGAGCCTCTCCAGCTCCGCCTGCTCGAGCAGAGATCGATTGAATCACTCGTGAGTTCGATGCAAGGAAAATGCGAATGATCTTACCGGAGAAGTGTGTTGCGGGTCTACAAAGACCACTTGCAGTATTCTCTCAACGGTGACTAGTTCCCGCTGCTCTTCAAACTGTTTTGCGAAGTGAGAGCGAGAGAAAGAGAAGGGCTCTTAGATCTCATACTTTGCAAGCTTATGACGTACCAGCTCTGGCGTGTACTCGACCCCGTCCTTAACTTTCAGGCTGACAATCTTAAACTTCTCCTTCGCTCTCTTCTGCTGTGGACGCTCTGGCTGCTCCACGAACTTGACGACTGCCAAGGGATGGGAAAGAGTAAAAAAACACGAAGAACCGGAGGAACTTCATACCAGTTGCGTAGATGGTCTCGTTCGGCTTGATGATTCCATTTGGAGGACGCATGAAGCAGCTCTTTGGTGCCGTGGTTTGGAACTTCACAAGGAGAAAATCAGAGTAGAAGACGATGCGAAACGAAGAACGAGATGCTCACCTTGAATGCCACATTGGAGCGGCTCACATTCTTGATCTTCACAGCGCTGGAGACTTGCTTTCCCGGTTCATCTAAATTTTTAAACTGTGAGAGATCGATTTTACAAGCAAAGGAGAGAAAGAGAGTGAAAGAACTTACACTCAAAGACGAGCTTCTTGTCAGGGTCGAGGCGCAAGCGGCGCTTGTTCAAGAGAAAGGCCTTTGCGGCAGCAGAGACGCTGCGCAGACTGGTCGCATCCCTTCCAAATCCATCGGGCTGCATTTGGCTCTGCTGCTGCTGCTGCTGCTGCCGGTGATCGAACAGAGAAGGGTGCTGCTCGGCTGTGATGCGTTGCCACCACCGCATTCTGCCTAAACCCTAGCCTTGACCATTCCAGCTCGCGGATTTCCCTCCACTCTGGCCTCCGCAACAAAGATCCAGCTCCCAATCCGCGGAATCTGCCACAGCAGCTCGGCTCTTACCGGAGATCGACTCGCAGCGCCAATGAGAGCAAAGATCTACAGGCCTGAGAAGAAGTGTATGTAGAGCCCTAACGCTCTTGGGGGGCCAATCCTAGCCGTTTATCTGCTGACCCAGTTGACGTAATCTGGATAGCTACTACTACTGCCACGTGGAAGACATCCGGCCGTTGGAAGGGTTGACCTCTGAGTATTCAAATAATTTGGGGAGAGGTTTTAGGGTTCTTGCGCTTGGGCAGTGATGTTGATGCAAGTCGGGGGCGAGGGCGATCGGCCGACATTCTTTGAGATGGTGGCCGCGCAGCAGCTCCCGGAGAGCTTGAGAGCGGCGCTAATGTATTCATTGGGGGTAATCGTGATTTTCTTCATCGTCTGGGCAGGAAAATCTCACAACTTCGCCGATTTTTCAGGTGATTGCACAGAGAAGGCCCATTGTGCACAGGGTTTTGGATTATAGCGACGAGTTCTTCGCATTTCTAATGCTAATTCTCGAGGCGCACAACGTCCGGACAGCGGGTATTGTGTGATGGCTAGCTTACATTCATGACATGACGCTATGATTCTTTTTTTTTTTTTTTGGTTCTTCCTTGCGGCAGATGCTTCTTTCGCGGAAGCTCTTTATGGCTTACGGAGACAGCCAGTGGAGATTGTAACCGATGTGACACAGAAAAAATCGTCGCTTCCTTCTAGAGCCGGTCTGACTAGAGCTCAAAAAAGCCTCTCGATATTTTTCCTGGTAAGTTCTTTCGTCTGCAAATCTTCTCCACTCCCGAATTCACACGTACTTTGTTTTATCAACATGGTAAAGGTTGGATTGCCTTACATCAAGGCAAAGTTGCAAGGAGCATACACGGCTCAAAGAGGCAGCGCTTTGCAAACGGCGTTATGGGGAAGTAGCAGTGCTCCAGTGGAAGAAGTTGTTCCACATAACAATAGAAGCATCTTCCAACGCTGGAAACTTAATCTGGTTGCTTTTCTCACGTACTCCTTTCCTTGGATTCACGCCACTCACGAAGGTATGTTTTGAATGTAACTTATCTTACTAGTCTTTATGCTCGTTCCAGGACTATCGTTCGCATATCAATTGCTGTATTTACTCGAGGCAACGCGGTTCTATTCTCCAGCCTTGTACTTGACCGGAGTCTATGTCCGCCGTGCATCCGGACAGGAGCTGGTAATCACGATGTCGTTTTACCTTTGTCGTTTTACCTTGTTGTGTAAAGCTAGATGGAACTAAACATATCCAGGAAAGAAGAAATCACGACTATGAACGGATTCGAGGCCCGGCTTCTTTGAAGGTGAAGATCACTTTCTCTTCATGCCGTTGAGCGACTGATTTATCACTTGACTCTATAGGCTGTTCAAAGAGGCCTCTTGAAGTCACTTTACACTTTTCTGGACTATGCTCAAACAGGCCTTATTGCCGGAGTATTTCTCTTTAAGGTACGCACTCTCCTTCCACTGCAGTTCCATACAACTCCTAACACGAGCCTCAGATGATGGAATGGTGGTATCAATCTGCCGAGGAACGAGTCATGGCCCCTACGATATATCCCCCGCCTCCACCACCACCGCCACCAAAGGTAACTGTTTCAGAGCTTCTTTTTTGTCCTGAGTGCGCTTTGTAGGTGGCACCAAACGGTATCCCTCTACCGGAAAGCGTTAGAACTTGTCCACTTTGCCTGCAAAGGCGAACAAATCCCGCCATGGCCGCTGTATCTGGATACGTTTTTTGTTATCCTTGCATATACAAGTACATATCCCAGGTAAATAGTGTTTTCTTCCTTTCTGCTTATCTGACTTCTTCCTTTGGACAGTATAAGCGTTGCCCAGTCACTCTGATCCCAGCTGATATCGAGCACATCCGCCGGTTGTATAAGGATGCATAAACTAACAGATTTGAGAGGTACAAAGTGATATCTTACATATATAAAGCAAATTTTCTGCTTTGCAGCGACCAGTAATTTGCTGCAAAAAATGAAGACTAGCAAGGCTACACAAGAGATTTTTTATCTCGGACTGTCCTCTGGTTTGTCTCCAAAGTGTCTCCATGCAACCGCTAGTGCGCTGCCCATGATGTTCATCAATACAGCCGACACCGCAGGTGGTACACAGGCTAGAGGAGAAGCAAAATGCGAGTTTGCCAGAACAACGCCGAGAGACGAGTTCTGCATCCCAACTTCGATTGAAATCGCTCGGCTCTGTGGCTCTTCGAACCCAGCAACCTTGGAGGCAACGTATCTACATCCAAAACAGCGCAGACTTGTCAACAAGCAGTGCAACGTTTGGAGAATAACTCACCCCAACAAGAAGCCAACAGTATGCACCATAACAACGCCTGTGGCAACGAGCAAGAGAGACGACGAGTCTGCGTCATTGAAGCTCAAAAGGCCAACATTTACAGAGAAGACACTGCAATACGATGGTTTCGACAAGCGAAAGAAGAAATCCAAAGGGACAAACCTGCTAGCAAGTAGAGACGAGATCAAGACAGCTGCGAGGGGCGCAAAAGGCTTGATGAAGGCAACACCGTGTGGAAACGGTCCTTGTAGCCAGGCACCTAGAAGAACTGGAGCAAGAACTACCTGGAAAAGCCGAGCGTCACAGAAAACAAAGAAACTTTACAACCAGTCTCACTTGTAGAGTGCTGAGAGCCAGGCCTTTGACGTCCACAGGAATGTAAGCTCCGGCAAAGGACAGTGTCAAGAGCGGTGTAGCAAAGACTGCTCCAATCGTCGTGCACGCAGTCATGATAATCGAGAGAGGAACATCTCCTCGAGCGATGTAAGTCACCTTTGGAAAAAAAATGGATTTTGAGAGAAGTTCTCGCGAGATCAAAGACTAGAAAACTTACGACGTTTGATGCGGTTCCTCCCGGGCAGCACGACATCAAGACGAGCCCAGCTGATAGCATGGGAGAGAGATTTAAGAACCGGCTAGTAGCAGCACCCATGACCGGCATAATCACGTACTGTGCCATGAATCCAAAGGCAATCTAAGAACCAAACGCGAAAGAAAACCATCCAAGTTAGAAGAAAAGAAGGGAAAAAGAAGCCAAAGAACCAACACGAAACGAAGAACAACACCTTTGAAACTTTGGATGAAGTTTTTTTACCGCGGCCGGGCGCCTCCGGAGGACGTCCGCCAGATCCGAGAGCTTGAGCGTGAATCCCATGGACAGCATGATCGCTCCCAGAGCAAAGCTGTAAGAGCCGGGGCTCCTGCTCACAAACCACGAATAAGCCTGTGGCCTGGCCAGCGCGAGCAATCCACCAAAGACGACGTAGACCGGATACAAGCTCGTCGCCACACCTAGAATCTCCTCCAATCGACTGCTGCTAGGCGCGGCGCTGCTCACATCCTCGCCCGCGCTTGCCTGGGCCCTGCATTCTCGATCCCTGGAGCGAATTGGAGCGCCGCGGCTCCGGCAATCAGCCAGAGCTGGACGGCGATGGCGCGCAGCGATTGGGAGGAAGGAGGCTGGACTGTCGAGGTGGACGGCGAGGCGCAAGCGCGCGGTAGGACACCAAGCGCACAACGCCATCCCTATAAACCCTAAAACCAATTGTTTTGTTTAAGTTGAAATACAGTCAACCTGGTCAATGAAAAGTCAATAAAGGCAAACTTTATTTGCTTAAAAACCATCTTAGCAAACATCATTTTATTCTATTTCTTATACCAGCTCCCTTGGATTTTTGTTCTATTTCGCAACGTTGAGCTTCATGGGAACAGGGATGCGATATGTCTGGGTGCCGTCATATATGTCCGCATCAGTCCTGAAAGCCAGCACGCCATCAAAGACACCGTCGATGCGATCCACAGGCTCACGCTCCACGCCATTGAGCGATGTGTCCCTCGTCTTGTAGTGGAACGGGATGGCCAGTTTCGCAGTGCTGATCACAACCTGCACAGTTCCCTGGATGGATAGCAGAGGATGTCAGTCAATCAATCGAGCAAAGGCGCACAGGCAGATTCTCTTACGTACCGTTTTCCCTGGAGGAATCGTCACTTTGTAAGTCGTCTGATAAGTGACTTCCTCGGACAAAGTCTCGTCCCACTGGTTTCCAAACTCTTGCTCGGCTCCGATCTGGATCTCGGTGCTCTCGTTGGCAAAGAACGGCACACCGAGCGTCAAAGTCTGCGTGATGCTCTCGGAGAAGGTGAACGAGTTGTGGAAGGACCTGGTGTTGCTCACTGTGGTGGTCTTGCTCACGCTGATCTCCATCTCAGCAGGCCCGCTGCCTCTGTTCGTGGCAGATCCATAGGCGACACCGATTGGCGCCTCCTCGCTCGCACTCGCCAGATCTAGCAGATACGTCACGTTAAAGATTTGCCTGCTCCTCACAGCTTCTTCGACCACCAGGTGGCTGGACGTTTCCTCGTAATCGGATGCCCCAGCAAAGACCACGTCCGGATTATTGGTGACCCAGGATCGGCTTCCACGCATAAGGTAGAGGCCATTGGGACCCTTGAGAGCGAGTGTGGTGCTGTTCACTCGGACTGGATCGAACTGGCATTCAGCGTAGTCGGGAGTGTCACCTCTAGGTGCGACCCACTTGTCTGTATCGGCCTTCCAGTAATTGTTTGAAGTCCAGGAGGCGGCTTGGTTGGATCGAAGAGATATCTTGCCGTTCAGGAGATACGCCACCTGGTCGAGGGGCCTGGGAATGTGAAAACAGATGAAAGACGAAACCAGCAGTGTACCTGGTGGGTGGTAACACGAATATCCGCGGATTCGTTTGTGAAAGCGAACTGGTCCGGGAAGCCTCCAATGCCCATAGGCTCGGAGAGGCAGCTGAGGTACTTGGCATTGTTACCTTTGAGACCCACGTACTCGGGCATGTTGACAACGTAGTAGGACGACTCCACCACTTCTACCATGGAAACGATCTCATTGGGCTCCTTGAGCAACGCGTGGTACTGGGTGTTGAAGCGCTTGAGGAAGAGACCGTCTTGGACGGAGGAGAGTGCCACCTTTCCTGGGGCGACCTCGGGCTGGAGCTTGAACCGGTTTGAGGCATCGGTGTCGCTGGGTGGGTTCTTGAGGTCGGCTACCACAGCAGAGGTGGAGGAGTGGCGGCGCCAGAAGTGCTTGTTGGCGGAGCAAATGACGAAGGAGGCGTTGGAATCATTGGCATTGTAGACCGCCTCGTGTGTGGTGTATCGGGTGGTGGTGTCGGACTCGAATGCAAGGGTGCCATCGGACTTAAGCATGAGGTACTTACCATTGTCGGCTTTGAGAGAGAAGAAGCGGGGAAGCTTGAGCAATGGGGATTCTGGATTTGGGGTCTGAGCCATTGCTGACAGACACAGAGCAAAAGAAACTTGGGCTGGAGGTTTGAGAGCTGCGTATCAAGTTAGTGTTTCCACAATGGCTTGGAATTACGATGACAAAATACATGTGCAAAGAGTATATGCCAGCAGCACAGTAAAATTTGTTTGTTGTGAATTATGATGATAAAATACAAGTGCAAAGAGTATATGCCAGTAGCACAGTAGACTTTGTTTGTTGTGAATTGCGATAACAAAATACAAGTGCAAAGAGTATATGCCAGCAGCACAGTAAAATTTGTTTGTTGCTAATCTCTCTCATGCATTATTTTGGGTTCACTATTGGTTTATCTATCCAAGTTCTATTTTAATATTTTGGTTGCGTCACTACAAGAAACAACAAGCAGGCCTCTCCTTGCCGGCACTAGAATAGTAAAATTTTATATTCCAAAATTGATTATATCACACCTGACTATGTCTACTCTACATTGTGTCATATCTCACAAATTTGTTCATCTCTATCTATTCCACATATATATCACAATGATAGGGATGGGGTGGGTGGTGTGGCAAAAGATTGAATTATACTGCAATCACATCAATTTAAAACACATATGTGTTTTATTATTGAATTGTTTAAACAGACATGTGTAACTCACAAAATAATCTTGCATTAGTGCATACCACACACAGACACACACACACATGTATATATATAGCAAAATTCAAATCAGTGCCACTTGCATTAGTATTTGATTATGTGCATGAAAAAATATATTATTTATCTTTATTTTAGTAATAATGTTGCAAAGTACTTCTTCTTAACAAATTAGTATACTACTTTAAAACAACATCTTCCTATACATCTCAAAACTTACTAATACCTATAGAACATTAAAGTTTCCCATAGATCTATAGTATAATGGAACTCATAGGTATTTATTAACTTTTAAATGACAAAGCCATTATAGAGCTTATAATGCTTTTGAATTATATTGAATATGACTAATGACACAATTTTGAGATTTCTCTCCATATATACAAAAGGATCTAAAACTCTTGTGACTTTGAAAAATAAAAGATGATTGCTTAAATGAAAAAACAAGTCAATTATCTTATTGGAATGGTTTTAATAATAGTAAGGCCACAGCAATGGGGTCCACTATACACACATTATGTTGCTTGGTGGACTTCAACACCAAAACTGCTAATAACAACACAAAACAAATTTGAATAAAATCCACTAATGTTTAGTAGGAAGAGATGGAAATGCATAAAGGTAGTTATATAAGGTTAAGTGTATATAAAATTGTAAACCAAGAAAAGGCTTGGAGGATTTAAAGATAGAATGTGCTAGAGTTGGGAGGCCACTCCTATATGTGCCAAATTTGCTATTAACCAAATATAACATCTATAAAAAAAATTTAATAACAATGTCCATGAAATCTACTATGGGCCTCCCTTTATTGCTTTATTGTTATAAATATTATACCACCAAGGAATTAATTAAAATATAAACAAGTCTTTAAAGATGTTTTAATGGGATGAAAAAGTGTTTCAAATGAAAACCATCTTTCAAATCTATATAAAACATACATGTACATATGTGTTAATTATTATTGACATTTTCTTGACACTTCATCTAGATAATCTATAAGTGATAAAGAAAAATACTAAAAAAATTTTAAAACCTATAAAAGATGAGATAAAAAAAAAGAAAATAAAAATAAAAAATACTTAC